ATTATGGGTATTTCAAAATAATTTCATGTGGGCAATATGATATGGCGAAGGTTAACACAATGTTTTCATATTTTAGGTCAGAAATCAGATACTAACATAAATACATTGGACAATGATCCTGCCAAACTATGTTTACTTAAGAATCCAAATTATGAATTAATTACCAAAATATTAGAAATAAGTCCATCACAACCTACTGCTAACTCTCTTAATAAAAAACAATTTCCAATAAATAAAAATGGTAGAAGATTTCATTCTGAATGGTACAAAAAAATTCTTCCAGATGGAAAAAGTGTTGAAAATAGAAATTGGCTTAGCTATTCTATTACCAATGACCATATTTATTGTATTGATTGTATGTTTTTTTCTTCTTCTGATAACCAACCGAATACTGCATGGACAAAAAATGGTTTCAACGCATGGTCTTGAGGATTAAATGGTATTGAACGTCATGAATGTACTGAGAGTCACATAGCAAGTTCAATGAAACGTTTATTAAGACAGTCAATTTTACCAATAATTCCTTCATTACAATGTCTTAAAAAAGAACAAGTGTTCAAAAATCGTGAAATTGTGAAACAATTAATTGATATTACGTTATACCTAGGTAGACACGGATTGGCTTTTCGTGGACATCGTGAAGGATGGTACGAACAAAATAAAGGAAACTTTAAAGATCTTATTATACTTATTTCTAAATATTCACCTATTATGGCTCAGTATATTACCGAAATTAAAATGCAAAAACACAAAAGTGAATGTTCGTTTATCTCTTGGAGAAAACAAAATTTATTAATTGATACAATTTCTGAATGTATAGTAACATTCATAGATGAAGAAATAGTTGGTGCTCGGTTTTTCAGCATATCAATCGATAGTACTTTTGACATATCGAGAAAAGAACAAGTTTCCTTTGTCATTAGATATGTTCAAAACGATACTATCAAGGAACGGTTTATTGCTTTAAAAGAATCTTCGAACACGCGAGGGGTGGATTTAGCTGAACTTTTCTATAGTGTCTGTACTGATCACAATCTGGATTGGAAACATTATTTAATCGGGCAAGCTTATGATGGAGCAGCAAGTATGCGTGGACAGTATACTGGTTTACAATCAATTATTAACGAACAAAATACAAGTGCAGTGTATATATGGTGCTGGGCCCATAGATTAAACCTAGTTGTAATTGATGCTGTTTCCTCGGGTAACAATGCTATGGATTTATTTGGAAATTTGGAACAAATTTTTGATTTTGTATGTTCGAGCAAAAAAAGGGTATCTTTATATGAAAAAAATTAAAAAAAAATCAATCCAAAATTACCAATAATAAGATTTAAAAGAGTTACTACTACACGTTGGATGTCACATTACTATGCATTATGCACTGTACTCAAAACATTTAATGCTTTGATTGAAACACTTGAAGTTATTAGAGATACAGAAGGGCCAGGGGACAGACGATGTGGCATCACTGCCGGTGGTTTACTAAAATACTTTACATCAGAAATATTTTTGTTAACAGCTTATAGCTTTGAAAATATGTTCAAAATTTTAGATAAAACATCTCAACACTTGCAAAGTCCAGATTTTGATATTTACTGTGCTACCATGTTAATAGAAGACAATTTGAAATCCTTAAATAAACTTCGAACAGATGAATTATTTAATGAAATCTCTGATCAAACAAAAAAGTTCATTATAGATAGTGATTACGAGTTTGAACCTTTTCCTCAACATAGATCTCGTAAGCGAAAACAAATGGCTGATGAAAACGCTATAGATGAAGTAATAATTCTCCCTATACAACATTTCAAAGTTAACACATACTTTTCAGCTCTGGACTGTATAATAACTCAGTTAACAGAAAGGTTCATTGGTAACAATAATACTTCATCAAATAACTCAAAAAGTCCTGATAAATCTACCCTTGGTTTATTAAAAGATATTAGTCTTTTGTCTAAGAAAAGGTTGAATGAAGTAAAACAAAATATTAAAAATCTTCCAGTAGATGCTTTTGATGTTTTTGGAAAAATTTATTCAAAATTTGTTCAACCAGATAATGCTAGACATGAGTATAAAGAATTTTGTAACTATTTTGAATTATTGGAAAAATGTGAAAGTTTGCCAAATATGCTTCATGATAACAGAGATACTGCAGTTTGTTTGGAAGATTCTGATATAAATCAAGAAGAAGATTTTGATTCAGAAAATGACAACTATTTAATATCAAACAAAGAAGATAATGATGCATCAGAAAAAAACATAAAAAATCATGGAAGTCTTACTTTAATATACAGGTATAATAAATATTTTATAAAATATATAAATTAAAAAATAAATATAAATACATTAATAATATTAAAAAATATATTAATTTATTTTATACAAATTGAAATATTTTAAAAGAATAGTTTGTTAGTTGGTTAATATTTTATTAACTGCTATGTATAGACTATAGGTATTTTATTATTTGAATATTTCCTAAATAAAATAAACTTTTTGTTTCAGATTATTTTGCAATCACGGTTCTCTTAAAATTATGTTTCCAACTTTATTTACCATGTACAAAATTGCATTAACATTACCAGTGGGAAGTGTAGAGACAGAAAGAAGTTTTTCCAAACTTAAAATTATTAAAAACAGACTTCGTTCTACCATGTCCAATGACAGACTAGAAGCACTGATGAGGATAAATTGTGAGCAAGATATTGATATTGATTACACATGTGTAATTGATAAATTTAGTCTAAAATCTTCATTGTTGATTAAAAATCTTACATTTTAATTTTAATAACTAAGGTGTATGTTATTACTTATATTTCATGAATAAACTAACAGTCAAACTCAAAACAGTTATATCTGTATTATTAACATGTAGTATTATAGTATAACGTATGGTATAACTGGTTATTAAACATAAAAGAATATTATGTTACCACAACCGCACAATGTATTATAAAAATAACATTGAGGAATAAGGTATGCTGTTTCACAAGACTTTTTAATATTTTTATTTTGAAGGTTTTAATAAATTTAAAAAATATAATGTCCGTTACATATTGGTATGAATGTATAATATCTCTTTAAAAATGAATACACCTTATTCCGAGAAAACACAGATTATATTGGTTGGTACATTAATGTTCACTAATATTATCAATTAAAATATGATAAAATTAAAATTTATAGAATAATGTAATTTGGAGCTTGTGAGGGGTGGGTGGGTGGGTAAAATTTTTTCTCGCTACACCTGAAAAATATAACTTGGGCGCCACTGGTTGTACCTACGTATATTTTATGCGTGTGCGTAC